ATTAATCAAGTCTAATAAACACGAAAACGAAAAAGAAACAGAAGAAAAAACGATTAAATCTAATAACAAAGCAAGGCAATCAACGAAAAATTCCGCGTCCTATCGATTGGCGGGAGTACGGTAATTGCAGTGACATTTGCCGCAAGCCGCAAGGGAGAATGCCGCGATAGGGGAGAAGTTCCGTTACCCGAGAAAGCGTGGACCAAACAGGCGAACCGAGCGACTTACCTCAATACCATGATTTTCTATATTCCGAAAACCAAAAGTATCCCCACGATCTATCCGAATACACCTGAATTAAGGAAAACATTTAGCAATTATAAGCCTAACAGGTTTCTAAGACGAACCATTCGTAGATTCGAGGTCCGTAGATGGTCGAGAAATTGTCAGCATCCCTCATGGAGAAGGTTGGCTGTACTTCGAATCGCCAAAAATGAACAAATTGCAGTTGCTCTGAGGTGGACATCCTCACCGCCCGACGAGTAGAACGTAATTGAACCATACCAATAAAGTTCACAGCTTCTACTGGAATTATTGATATCACGGTTATCAGACTTATTCTTCTCCCTTATCCATAAACTGAATTCTGTTTAAAGATTGCATTTCACTTCTTTTCAACATTTTCCCCTTTTCCTTTCGTTCTCAGTCCCTGTTTCGAGCACTTTCCCTCCCATCTTCTCTACGAATTCCGCTTGAAAACTTCTGAGTCGTATAAGTGGAGGCTTTTACCCTATCAGATGTCTGGCAACATAAAACCAAACCTGGAGGAATGGAAGGCTTCCCGATCGAAATGCCGATCTAAAACTCGACCTCAAAACCACTTTCACTCCTCCAGATCGGCCTAGTTGAGGTATAACCGGAAAAGCATTACCTATTACAGTTCATTACACTTGCCTACCATATGTAAAATAGAGATTTCTAGGAAATGGCTCATTCTACCTCAAGCATATGTCAATATTGCCAATAGTGAAGAGCCTATGGAATACCGTCTCCTGTCTTCCATAACGACGCCTAGCCAACTGACGAGTCTCTGGATATCATCGGTTGGTTAGCTTCATTTCTCAGAATCGTCCCCATATCTCCGTTAGCTTTCTCTTTTTCGCTAAGTCAAATAAATTTCTCCGATCGACAGCTTCTTCACAGCTTTTTTGGCAAAAGATCATGTGATTTCCCATGAATCAACGCTACAATGGGCAAAGCCATTGAAAACCAGTCTGACTTGTAACGATGAGATGAGTTTCTTCGATAGGCTTCATACCAGGACTGTATGTATGGATGAGCAGCTTGCTTATGTGATTATTGCGCACGATTTACTATCATCATGCTAGAAGCTTTAAAAAAGTAGTATGTTATGTCGAGAACCAGATAGTGATAATTGTTTCCATTTCATTTACTACTTTCCGTGGAATACTGGTTTGAAAATCTCGTACACCGAAAAAAATCCCATACCCCTATCTCAATTACAAATTGATTCCCTGAAAGTAGACTGTTCGAAATGAACTAGATGTTGGACATTTAGGAATTTACATCAAAAAGAAAACGATGAGGTGTCGATGATAATCAGTCCCGGTACCAGGGATGTGCCCTGCATTCGAAATCCATTCGGAATCGTAGAAGCGTTTTGAGCGCGTATATAGCTTAGTAGCGAATTTCGGTGCTTTTATCCTCCCAGAGAGAATGCTGTACTAATTGAGCGGCCCCGAAGGAATGGAAGGCTTGGATGGTGAGAGCAATCTCCATCCAAGCGTCGATCGGTGGGCCATGCATGCATGATAGTGCGCTGCTTGCCACTACTCCACTTCAAGTTTACATCTAAAATACGGGGAAATTCGGAAATTGCGTGACTACAGAAGGTGGAAGCAGTGCATAGTAAATTCACATTGATGTTGAGTATGTCTTCATTTTCATGAGAGATTTTTTGCGGATTGATGTGAAAATAGTTAGAAACTATACACTTTCTCACTCTTCAATAGACTATTCGCGAGCGGCCCCCGGAAATTCTTGGAATCGTTTGGCTTTAGCGGCGATAGGAGTTAAGCAACCACCATATCTACTTGGTCCCAATAAAAAACGAGTGCCAACACCGTGGGTTCTTAGTGAAAGCATCCACTCAAAAAATAGGGTTGTTGACATTCGCTCTCCAGGAGCGTGCAGCGACGGAAAAAAAATTATCTCTAAGGTTTAGTTAAGTCCACAATTTGGCTGTAATAGTCGCCTAAACATACTTCTTACCTTTGTATTGAGTTCTTTGTCAGTGCGAATTCCATTTTCCACATGAAATGGTTGCTGGACCCCAGTATTTCAGGAATGAATTGAGTGGAGATCGAGAGATATGAGTGTTTGGTGATGTACGCATTCCTTTTACAACCCCTCAAACCCAAAATAGTCTAAAATGTCACGGTGTTCAAGCAAAAGTCGAACCCATGGCGTATTCATGAGGAAGTAGCTGAACAAGTAAATCTTGTGAGTGAGGAAGTAATCGCAACTGATAAGTTCCTTGTGTAGTTACCTAGGGTCTTATTATTATTTATGACGTATTATGCTGGTGCTCCAATATTGTTCCGATGTGATCGTATACTAAACCAGTTTCGCACCGGTAACGTCCCTTCTTCTCTAATTATCGGATTGCCAATGCTCGTGTTCATGCTGTATTGAATGAGATCCTTCAGGATCCCCAATCGGCCGATTCGAGAACGTTACAGAAGACAGGAGCATCATCTAGCAGCAGTTAGTTTGGCACCACATTGCAAAAAGATAAGCTGAAAGTCAGCGTCATAGTCGTACAAGCGTTGCAGTACACCAATTTAGTCCGCAGGGCGAGTTATTGGTCTGTGCAGGTTCTTTATAATCAGGGAGAAAAACTTTTGTACCTGGAGGCTTGGCCACCCAGAAGCGGTGGGTGGTTTGGCTGGCCAAGTGGTGATGCACTTTGATCAAATCCGAGCTAGTTCTCGTTTCACCAATCAACTAAAATCAACCGCAGAGGT